GGATATAAATATTTAGGGGTTGCCTTGGAATGGGCTTTTCCCCCCCCCCCCCGGGCTCCTAACTGGGGGGAGGTGTACTATTGATCCTGACCTCTGAGGGCTCTTGCCTAGGTAGGCCTCATCTGCCATGATTTAAGGCCGAGGGTTGGGCCTAAGCTCACACAGAAGATTCCCGGGAGGAACTTCATCTGCTTGAGAACCTGGAAGTGGGCTTGGACCTGGCAGGGAATCTGATGTCTCATCCAGGGAGTCAGGTGCTATGTCTGCAAATCGGCTGACGTTTTGTCGTACACACTGCACCCGCATTCAGGTTACAGGCTCCCTGCACAGTGAATCAGAAGTCTGTGCTGTCCTAGGTGTCTGTAGCTCCTCCCCTTCTCCATTTAAACCTCTTAAAGTGTCTGGCACCCAACTATACATTCACACCCCACCACCAGCCAAGGCCTTAACTCAGTTAGAATGGACGCTGCTCCCATGTCTAAAAGTTTTAATAGCCTGCAGAGCACTGGCCCTGATATCCTGTGTTGGGGGGGGGGGCTCCTTTCCCTTGCAGGGTCCTATGGAGCCACCATTGTGTGTGCTAGTAAGCTGTGTGTGTCTCCACAAGGCTAGCCACTCCCTTCCTCCATGCTAGGAGATGTGCTAAAGACTGCTCTGTCCCTTGTGATCTTGTACTGGACAGGAAGTTCAGGGAAGCCGAGCTGAGAGTGTTGGAGCTGTCTGGAAATGAGGACTGTAAGTGCTGGAGCACAAAAATATAAAGAAATACTTGGATGGGAAATGTATATTTATTGATTTGGGTTCAGTATTCAAAAAACGAGTTTAATACAAACAGGTGCAGCATGTAGGTACAATGTCTGTCCGTCACCGTGAAAAAGATGGCCGCCGTGCTCTCCAAACCGTGTCACTAATATGGCCAATCGGTAAATCCATCTCCATTACGGCACTAAAAACCTGAGAGGTGTTCTTTTCCCTCTCGACCCCATCCAAAACTAAGGATTTTAGAAGACATTTCCCGCACTCCGGCCACTAACACACCTCAACAGTTGTGTGGGTCCTCTGATGTTTGGTAAGACAAGACTTCTCTGAAAAACTTTTCCCGCACTTGAGGCAGGAATACGGCTTCTCCCCTGTGTGAATCCTCATATGACTATTAAGATGGCCCATTTGTGAAAAACTTTTCCCGCACTCAGGGCAGGCATATGGCTTTTCCCCCGTGTGAATCCTCTTGTGAGTGTTAAGATGGCCCATCTGTGAAAACCGTTTCCCACACTCCTGACAGACATACGGCTTCTCCCCTGTGTGATATCTTCGATGTACAGCAAGGTCTGCTTTCCATTTAAAACTTTTTCCGCACTCGTGACAGGAATATGACTCCTTCCCTTTGTGAGATGTTTGATGTATATTAAGTTCTGATTTTAGTGGGAAACTTTTCCCGCACTCGGAGCAGGCATACGGCTTCTCATCCATGTGTAATTTCTGATGTCTGTAAAAGTTGGTCTTCTGTGAGAAACAAATCCCGCACTCAGGGCAGGTAAACTGCTTTTCCTGCATGTGGCTTCTCTGATGTACAGTAAGACCGGACTTTTCTGAAAAACATTTTCCACACTCAGTACAGCTATATGGCTTCTCCCCCGTGTGCGATCGCTGATGTCTAGAAAGCTTGGACTTCTCTGAAAAGCTTTTCCCGCACTCAGAGCAAAAATACGGCTTCTCCCCCGTGTGAGATCTCTGATGTATAACAAGGTGTGACTTGCGTAGAAAACATTTACTGCACTGAGGACAGGAATACGGTTTCTGCCCCAGGTGTAATTTCTGATGTATAGAAAATGTGGCCTCATCTGAAAAACCTTTCCCGCACTCAAGGCAGGGAAACTGGTTTTCCTGCGTGTGGCGAATCTGATGCACAGTGAGACTGGATTTTCGTGAGAAACGTTTCCCGCAATCATGACAGGCATGCGGCTTCTCCCCTGTGTGCGATCTCTGATGTTTGGTAAGGCTGGACTTATCTGAAAAGCATTTCTCACACTCAGGGCAGGGATACGGCTTCTCCCCCGTGTGAGATCTCTGATGTATAACAAGCTCTGATTTCCGTGAAAAACTTTTCTTACACTCGGAACAGGAATACGGTTTCTTGCTTGAATGAGCTTTCTGATGCACAGAAAGTGTAGCCTTATCTGAAAAACATTTCCCGCACTCAGGGCAGGAAAACAGCTTTTTCTGTGCATGATGTATCTGATGTAAAGTGAGGCTGGACTTGCGTGAAAAACTTTTCCCACACTCAAGGCAGCAGTACGGCTTCTCCCCCGTGTGAGATCTGTAATGTATGGCGAGTGCTGATTTATAAAGAAAACGTTTCCCGCACTCAGAGCAAGAATAAAGCTTCTCACCCGTGTGAGACCTCTGATGTTCAGTAAGACTTAATACAGAGCTAAAACTTTCCCAACATTCACTACAAGAAAAGGTCTTCTTCCCAGGAATGCCGGCACCATCCCCCACAGGACGAGGTCGCTCAGAGTCAGAGGGATCCCATGGTCTATCCACACTGTGACGTCCACCATCCATAGCTGAGCTCATTGTCTCTTCTCCCGCACAATCTGCTGTGATGTCCTCATCTTCCATCTTACAACCTGGAGATAAAGTCAGACGATCCTTTGAGGGTTCCTCCATGGCGTGTCCTGGAAACATAGAGACACATGATGGAGAGATATGAGAGGGTTAGATAACTTCACTCAACATTCCATCTGGATCAGGAGGTCTGAGGGAGCGGATGTTCTATGAGGAGGTCCCAACCAGCCGGGACTCCTCCCCTCTTCACTCAACATTCCATCTGGATCAGGAGGTCTGAGGGAGCAGATGTTCTATGCAGAGGTCCCAACCAGCCGGGACTCCTCCCCTCTTCAGTCAAAGGGCCTTTGGTCCTCCTCCCAGATCACTTCTACATTGACACAGCCTTGTCAGAAGAGGCGGAGCCAATGGGGACTGAGAGGAGCATGCTCTTCACCCAACCACAAGCCTAGGCACTGGGTCATGTGACCTCTGAGCAACAAGAGGATCAGAGTATAGACTGGCAGTGACAGAAGGATATATTGTGGGTCACCTCTGCGGTTCTGTGTAGGCGTGTCCTCCTCTATGGATGTCCTCATCATCCCGGCCTCCTCCGTATATCGCTGATCCTCCCTCACATACGTCTCTTCTACTTCACCCTCAACTTTCATCTTCATCAGATCTTCACCCTAAACCAACAGAACGGCAGAAAAAGTGAGATTTCGGGGCTTTCTATAAAATCGATTTTCATGGAGTCCATTGGGGGACACAGGAATTTAGAAACAGTTGGGTTATACTGCCATCTACAGGAGGATTGGATACAGGCAGACAGAAAAATTGTAAGGCAACCCCCCCATAACTCCTCCTCTACCCAGCATGCCTCAGTTTGGTGGAAAAGCTCCAGCAAGGGTAAGAGCAAAAAGACTGGTGAGACCCGAGTCCCTCAAAGGACTCCGAGAAGTAGTATGAAGATCTTATTTTCTTTCTCATCCATTGTTACAAGATACAGTCCTGATGTCCAAAAGCAGTCTGAGTCCTAGACACCGGGCCACCGACAGGCCCAAAAGGGATCGGGAACGGTCTGCAACCTAAAATACCAACACCCGAATCTGAACCAGATGAGAAGCCACCACCTGAGGAGCACAGATGATCAACCTGAGGCTTACACCAGGGTAGAAGAGGTCACCACCAACCGGGGAGGTTTCCACCTGAAGGGACACGGAGCCTGAACCAGTGAGGTGATGTGAAACCCAAAACCAGGTGGAATCACATGACTACCAGAGAGGAAGAACTAGACCAACAACTTGATGTGGTCAACAGAAAAAAGTAGGACACGTCTCCTGGAAAATAGGTCCCCAGAGGGAGTCCTGGACAGAAGAAGGTCTACAAGAGAAAACTGGTCTACAGGTGAAGGCTCAAACCTCGCAGTCCCAACCCCTTCGGATCTACATAATAAGGATGAGGTTGTCGGGCCGGACATCCAATCTTGTAGATATCCAACGATGTGAGAAATACCATCACATGATATCCTATAATGGGGAACAACGTGACCCCGAGACCTTAGAGAACCAAGGGTTCCAACCCCGAAGCCAGCCTGAGGGTGCACAAGAAGGACCCCTACAATGGGAGGCAGGGTTAAAAGCCCTAAGCCCAGACTAGAGAAGAACATAAAGATGGTCAAAACCCTCCCGGAGGTGTCTCTGGGGGCTGACAGATGAACTCTGCAGGACCTCCCTAACCTTAGTCTAGAAGATGAATCTCCTGACCCCCTGCAGCCCAGCGAAGTATCCTAGTCATGGAGAAAAGGACAGGAACTATAGTCACTGCTAAAAACTTTGACCTAATTACGGGCAGAACCGAGGATGGGATCTGAAGCAACTTCCTCAAGATCATCCACAGAAGCAGAACGTATCTCCAGGGGATCAGGTCCCATGAAGGCCTCTGTACATTGTCTATCTCCAATAGGAGGTTCCTTCAGCCATAACCGAGGATGTTCTGCTGGCCGGCAATCCAGGGAACACAGAGCCCTCCAGTGATGACTTCTGCCTGCCAAGAAGATGAATAGCGCCCAAGTGTGCAAAGTTCTCTCTTTGGTGCGGAGATCACCGGATGTCAATGTCATGGCTGGAAGGTAGACAGTGTAGTTGAGAGTTGTTCTCTCTACATCCTACTTGTCCTATCACAGGGAGGAATCACAAACCTTCCTGAGGGCGAAGGTCATGCAACATCTGGGTGATGTTCAATGGAGTTCACTTTTTCAGCTCGGAGAGTGAGGCCAGGGTCATCCAAGTGTTGAAACTGACTCACGGGGAAGTCCTCCAGAGGAGAGGACGGTCTGTTCTGGAGAATATGGGGACATCCCGGCAACTGGAGTCACCTCAAGCAAGAGGTAGGGACCACCCCATTCCCCCGAAGAGACTGATGGGACGTGCCAGGAATGTCTTGACCATGGAGACCATCTTCATGTCTTGCCCCAAGCCAAGGCCCCCAAGAGAAGAAGAGTCGGCTGAGCGTCAATGAGAGAAGGGGGGACCTCGTTAAGATGTTGTGTCGCTTTAATGTCTATAAGACCCCTGACGGGGGAGAAGGGGCAAGTTCCCTGACAGTGTAGACAGGGTGTAAGTTGAATGACCTAGCCCATTGGTGGCCAGTTGTTACAAATGACAGCCACCTGTGGGGCCCTTTCTCATCGAAGCTTGCAGGATTTAGGGCCCTCAGAAAGGTTCTGACTGCGGGGGGTCCACAGCTGACCCTCTTCAAGGAAGGTCCTCTGAGCATTCCTCAATGTGAATGCCAGGAAAGGGCAATATGGAAGCCGCTAGGACAGCACTTGAGTTATAGCAGGAGCTCTCAAAGGACTCTGAAGGCCCGTGTCCTATTTCAAGGAAGGAAACGGCAGGAACTTGTCCCGGCCAACCTTGGAGGTCAGAGAGTTCCTATGGAGGAAAGGGAAGATGAGGGGTATCAAGTACCATAAGGGGTTGAACTGTACCCAAGGACACAGAATTCTCCTTAAGAAGGGGCAACTGAAGGAGGTTCCGGATACAAGGGGTTAGCCTGTGGACTAACGGGGACGTCCTAAGCACCCACATTCTGGGGAGGCAAGCTACACAAAGGCCCTGTCTGGGTGTGCAAACAACCCCCGACCTTAGAAGGAAGGGTGCAACTTCATCCAGAAGGCTTAGCCCTCCTCTGGCTTAGAGCCCTATGGGCTAAGTGGAGCTTAGACTATGAAGACCCACGCTTATCTACTGCTGGGGTCCAGGTATGGTCTTCACAGCTAGTGCTGAGGAAACACCAATCCAGATGGATGCCATACGGAGAACAGCTCTATCGGCAATGTGAGAATCTGGATGGAAGTCACCAAAGAAAAAAATCCAAGAAGCAATGGGGGGCTGGCAAAAAAATATGACTTAGATCTTTCCCAGCAGAGGTGAAGACAAGGTGTCCACCTCCAAGGACACTATGGAAAACTGAGGCATGCTGGGAAGAGGAGGAGTTATCATTACAATTTTTCAGTTTGCCAACCTCCTGTAGACGGCAGTATAACCCGACTGAATTCCTGTGTCCCTCAAAGTCCACACATCTCCACATGTCAGAGCGTTCCATCACTTTATGTTCCCGCCCCTCAACTCCACCCACCTGATCATGGCGGGGGACGGTGAGACCTTCCTGGGTGGGATCCCGGGAGTACCGAGGGCGGCGACGTCTCTCTGGTGGGTTCCTGTTGTTAGCTGGCTCCATCACAATGACCTTGAGATCCTTGCGTCCCTCAGCAAGCTCCGTCATCACCCCGTACTCCTCGTCCTCCTCTTTATACTCTTCTTTAACAACGATAATGAAGTCCTCGAGGTCTCCGCTCTGGAAATGTGATAAAAGGTTCCTTACAACAAACCCGCGTGTGTGTGTAAATCATAACTACCAATAATTATTGATCGCCTACCTGATCATGGTGGGGGAGGGTGGGATCTTCCTGGGTGGAATCCCGGGAATACAGAGGACGGGGACATCTCTCTGGTGGCTCCTTCACACCCTTGCATCCATCGGAAAACTTCTTCTTCATCACCCCGTACTCCTCGTCCTCCTCTTTATACTCTTCTTTAACGACAATGTTATAATCTCCGAGGTTTCCACTCTGAGTATATAAAACGTTCATTGTAACAAACACACTTGAGTATAAGTCATAGCTGCCAATAGTTGGTAACCACCCACCTGATCCTGGTGGGGGATGGTGAGATCTTCCTGGGTGGAGTCCCGGGAATACAGAGGACCTGGACATCTCTCATAGTGGGGGATGGTGAGATCTTCCTGGGTGGAGTCCCGGGAATACAGAGGGCGGGGACATCTCTCATGGTGGGGGACGGTGAGATCTTCCTGGGTGGGATCCCGGGAATACAGGGGGCGGTGACATCTCTCTGGTGGGTTCCTCTTACTGGATCCATCTGTAGGAAACACACACACTGACTGAATACATTGTTTCTGTGTGTATCAGATGATGGGGGATGTAGGCGGAGCCTCCGTACTGCTCTCTCCTCTTACCCGGTGATGTGAGGGGCGGGGCATTCTCCATCACCACGTCCTTGTAGAGATCCCGGTGTCCTTCTAAGTTCTCATCCACAGAGACATCCCGTCATCTTATAGGAACCTGAGACACACAATGATACAGTCACCACCTTGGAGAGGCGTGGAGGAAGTGTTGTCTGCTGTGGAGGACCTCTTCTGATGAACACAGCGGGGAGGGTCCATTTCAGGTTGCTGTAGATGGTGTTAGGGGACCAGCTGTCAGCGCTAGGATCCGGAAGGTCCCTCTATGACTGAGGCAGCCCTTGCCTGATAGGTGACGGGGTTAATCTATAGAATCCCCGGGTCATCGCTCCACCAGGGCTCGCGATATCGTAGCTACCTCTGTGTGCTCCTGCGTGACCCAGCTGGTACCTCCTCTGATCCTCACGCGTGTGACCCGGCTTGTCCAGACCCTACCATGTTACTCGACTCACCATGACAACTTGGCCTGGTCCTGCATCACAACAGCATCATGCTGTTCCACCTACATCTGCAGCGGTGCACCACAAGTAGCAGCCAGCCTGCTCCTGAATACTCGGGTAACGCGGGTTTGGATGTGGAATTATTTTTTGTCGGTCTCGTCTCTGCTGGAGGGAGGAAAGGTCAGACCTGGGGGCTTCCCTCTCGCTGAATACAATGGACGTTCTTGACTCTGCACCAAGGAAGGGGGGAAGGAAGTATGGTGCTGCAACTGAAGATGGAGGAGGAGAAGGTGGTGGATGGTGGGACTGATGCTGTCAAGGTCTGCTGACTTTTCAGAACAAAATTTCCTGTGTCTGGCTGGATTAGCGGAAGAGGAGAAGGAGGTTGAGGAGGAGGAGGAGAAGGAAGAGGAAGAAGAGGAGGAGAAGAAACAGAAGGAGGAGGAGAAGGAAAGGGAGAAAGCAAAGGAGATGGAAAAAAAGAGGAAGAGAAGAATAAGGAAGAAGAGAAGGAGGAAGAGGAAGTGGAGGGGGAAGAGGAGAAGGAGGAGGAAGAGGAGAAGGGAGATGAGGAGGAGGAGAAGAAACAGAAGGAGGAGAAGGAAAGGGAGAAAGCAAAGGAGATGGAAAAAATGAGGAAGAGAAGAAGGAGGCTGAGGAAGAGGTTAAGGAGATGGAGGAGGATGGAGAAGGAGGAGGAAGAGGAGATGGAGAAGACAGAGGAGATGAGGAGGAGAAGTTGGAGCCACCACAGCAACACACACAACCCAACCACACCACTCAATCCCTCCACTGAATGATCCCTATGAAGAAGCTCTCCCTGTACGCTCACCATCACCAGACACACCGACTGACCTCCCACCACTGCTTATAGTGAGGGGCGGGGTTATGGTTGATCTCCCACCCCCGCTTATAGTGAGGGGTGGGGTTATCCACCTCCTCTGGTTATTGGACCAGGGACAATGGTTGTGCAGGTCATCACGGGGGAACACCAAAATGAATCGACCACAAACCTGACCAAAATTCAAATCCCGGAAATTTGGGTCAAATTTTAGTCCAATCCGAATCCCTAACAGAAGAGACTGCAAAGGTGAAAAGGTCACGCATCTCCATAAGGAAGGCAACGCTCCGACCCCGTACATGGGGAAATGTTCTGACCCTGAAGGGGTTAATATACATTTCCACACTATATGTATGTATCAGAATCTGCCGGAGATAAAAGAGGTCACGGTGAATATGGAGGACGAGGATGGACATGACGGGGGGAGGGGTTACTGGATGTACATATAACATAATATCTTATTACCTCCTCTGCTGCCAGTTCCAGCAATGTCTCCTCTCTACTTCTTCTCAACTCAGAATTCACACCTCCCCCATAACTTCCTGTCTGTAGCTTACATCACTTCCTGTCCATAGAGACGTCCTGTCTGGGTCTAGGTGAGATCACCACCTGGTGGAGCTCGGAGGAAGTGCAGCCCCCGAAAAACGTCTCGTAGTGTGAACACGGCCTTGTCGTTGTTACCGGCCCGAACCCGTCAATCACGTCAATCACACGTGACCATACACAGGTCTGAACCGAGCGTGGGCGTCACAAGGACGTGGCGATACCGCTCTCAGCCTCACCCTGCGCGGAGATTTCCCAGCTCGCGGGACAACAATCTCAGGCCAGCCGACTGAGAGCGTTCATCACTAGGGTTGGAAAACTCCGCAGTTACCCCTTTACACGCCAAATGTTCACTTCCACCACGTGTCTTACCGGAAACACACATCGTTCCCAGCATGATCGTGCACCCCCCCCCCCCCCCCCCCCCCCCCCCCACCCCCCCCCCCCCCCCCCCCT